ACTGGGACTCTATTCACATGTTTGGGCTTAGGGTTTAAGGTTTAGGGTTTAGGGGGGACTCTTTTCGGGTGTAGGCTGTACAATCTAGGGTGTGGTTGCTTTTGATCTCGCGTTCTGTGTTGAATGCGCGAGAGTTCGTGTGCCGCCAGTTACCTGTCTTGCTGAAGGGCCGTCAAAGACTCTTCGCGCCTGCCACACATGACACTTTTGTTTATACAATGCCCTGAGCAGAAGTTTTTTCGGTCTACAATATCGCCTCAAGTCTTAAGAGGTTGGGTCAAGGGGCCTTTAGGCATTCTTTGAGGAATTCCTTTCCCTGATCAACACATTGTATGTGCGTATTCATCGCACATGAGCTAGAGCTAGTACTGTATAATTATAATGCGCCCCCTATCTTTGTCATGTGTCGCTGAAATCCTGTCGCCGCTCTTTTTTGAGGACCTTGTCGTGGTGCCGGGTTTGTCGGCATCTCAGTTTGGCCACTCCAAAGACATGAGACACAGCATCGACTGTTGTCCTAGCAGGCCATGGCCTGCACCCCTACTTTTTGACATAGCTTTCACTCGTAACCTTGACTTAGAGGACTAAGACTTGACTTCTAAAGACTGGCACATTGAGGGACAAGGACTAAGGCTTGACTTCCAAAGACTGGCGCATTGAAGGAAAAGAACAAGGGAACTATCTATCTGTCTTCCTGTCTAGTGACGGACCGACCGACCTACCTGCCTGCCTACATAGAACTCCGATTTGCAAGGGGCTGCTGCTCGGCTCGGGCGGAGCAGGACGACGATGTTGAGGTGTTCTGCAGCTTAAGCGCTAGCTAGACTCTGAAGTAGTACCTGTATTTGGCTGCCTTCTTTTCCTACTACGGGTTTGCAGCCATGAGCCCGGGTCTAGGTAGTGTCGTCCATGGTTCTGATGTTGGTGTCGATGGTCAGTACCGTGATGCGGTAGCACGGATGAGCTTTGATGTGGTTATCCTGCTAGTTGCTATGGTGTGGCGATGTTGGGGACACAAGAGCATGAAGATGCTGATTGTGTTCTCGGAGGTGGTGCTGTTGTTGTTATTTGTCGTTTCGGTGGAAGCGAGTGTAGGCAGCAACGGTCCAGGTCGGTGGAGTATTTGCGACGGTGGAGGTGGCAAGGCTGATGATGACGACTATCATCATCATCATCGTCTTCTTTTTCATAATCGTCGTCTTCTTCTTCATAATCGTCGTCATGTACCGGAGCGCGGGAGGATGGTGATGATCACACCGACGAGCTAGGCCATGACAGGTTCTATCCTGATGAAGAGGATGCGGATGATGATGCCGCTGTTTGTCTCATGATACCGGTGATAATAATGACGGTGATGATGACGATAATGATATCACTGAAAAGGCCCCTCTGGACTCCTCACTGCACGGCCCAGGTTCCAGTTCGCCAGCTCGGGGCACATGTTCCAACAGGCGGCGCACGGGCTTGGACGTTAAGACCTCCATTATTGCTTTTTCTTCTTACAGCAGAACCCTAAACCCTGATACCCTAAACCCTGAAACCTTATACACAACTGTAACCCCTAAACCCCTAAACCCCTAAACCCCACACCCTGAAACCCCAAACCCTGAACCATAAAGACCCAAGCAGACATCCCCCAACCAAGTCCTCGGATTTAAACCTTGGCCCCGGAGCAGAAAAGAACTCCCCCCGTAGGGTTCAGGGGTTTAGGGTTTAGGGGTTTAGGGTTTAGGGGTCTAGGGTTTAAGGTTTAGGGATGTAGGGTTAAAGGGGTTAGGGGAGGCTAGCCGCAGCCATCTGATGTTGACGAGGGTAGTTTGTTCTTGACTTCTGGTTTGTCCCCAGGCCGTAGAGTACCTTTCTGTCAACCGTCCAGACATCCCGAGGGATCCCTGATCAAAATCAGGTCCGGAAGACCAGCATCAGTTAGACACACTGCAAACCCCACGACCCCCCAAATCCCAACCCTCACCGTAAATCCGAAAAACCTTAATCCCTAAACCAGAATCTGAAAACGAAGCCCTAGATTTTGAGAGCCCTCCATAAAAGCTCTACATTCTGTCCCGATTGCGCAGCTCAGCTGCCAACGTTGTACTATTACTTGCCCACCTGGCAGGTTTAGGGTTTAGGAATTTCGAGTGGCAGTCGAATGGCTAGCTCAACATGGCGAAACGGAGCCCTAAACCTGAAAACTTTGCCCCTGCGACTACAGCCCTTAACCCTGACCCCTAACAACTCAAACCGCCTGCCTTCAGTTGGTTCGGAGATGCCCCAGGGACTTTGCCGAGCTCCCTGGCACAGTTCAGGAATGGACAGAAGATAGTTTCATGGAAGGACGTCGGGCTGTTGATAAGGGTGTTGTGGGGTGGTGTGCGGTTTCGGTATTGCGGGGCTGGTTTGGGGAGAGAGCAGCCAGGGAGGACCACGACCTTCCAATCCTGCCAACATCTTTGCGAGTTTCGCGATTCTTCTTGCTGGAATTTCACGGTGTGGAACAGGAATATCGGGTTGCCCGAGTCTGCCAATGTGTGTGACGGCTGCAGGTTTCGGGCTCTGTGAAATTTCATCATGGACAGCTGCCTACCCAGAGAGCCCAATGCCCCTTAATTGAGGAGTATACCTTACATTATAAGGACCTTGATATCATGATTTAAGGTATATTCCTTAATTATGGGGTGTTGGGTTCTCTGCCTAGTCCAAGGGAGCTGGAGCACCTCAACTTTATGGATCCGACGCAGACGCCGCACCTCTTCGTCTTCGCGGACCACATGAAGCTCAGTCAGATCCGTTTGCTTTTGTTGGACGTAGTATGCTGACTTTACAGTCACAAGTTAGACATGGCCTTATGATTTGTGATTTCGTGTACAATTGGTTTGGTGCCTGGTTCAGTCTTCCACTTCGGCGTAGTTCTCGTGCATCACGCGTGGCATCATCAGAATTAGAATGCCTCTGCCTTTGCTAGTATGTTCCGCTGTCGGTATGTAAAGACAGGATTTCTGTGCCGGAGTCAGCCAGCAAAAGCTCCCAGCCCTAGTAAGCCCATCATAGCCTGAAGACCCATTCTTACATAGGAGCCTAAATAATTACCTGTAGTGTTTGAGGGGTCGGCACTATGATTATACTATAATGGGCCCAAAACCCTATTCTAATTATTGAGGCACCTGTTCTGCTTGTCTTGGCCCGTTTTTCTCAACCCTTGAAGTCGAAATGCTTCAAATCCGACACGCTACACTTTGAACCCCCCGACCGCGAAACCCAGCAAGTCAGAACTAACCCCGAAGTAAAAGGGCCCTCAGAGGAAAAGAAGCAACTGAACTCCGAAACCCCGAAGTTAAACCCGCGAACCCGAAGCAGTGAAAGCCCTTGTAGCTGGCATTGCTAAGGAACAACCTCAGGCCGAGAGCGACCTAACAGAGCTTCGCGAAGAGGGTTGGTTCCGCAGAAGGATCCCAGACTTGCGGGGATCCTTTAAAAAATCGGATACACCGCTCACCTTACATCAGGGCTCCATACAAGGGTGCCACGAAAATTCGGATAAAGAGACGAAGGATGACCCGAAAAGTTTCGTACATGTTCCTTTCGTTTAACGGTACCTTTGCTACTCAGTTCTATGTTCGATACTAGACTCAGGTCCCCGATTTTCGGAGAGCCCAACGGCTGAAGGATTCGGGTCGGGGCGTTGTTTTAAAGACCTGGGTGGTCAACCCTGTGGTGAAGTTCTGGGACTGATGATGCTGATATTCTAATATTCGAGCATGAAGATCCTGATATGTTGCGATAAAGCGACTTACATAAGTCTGTTGATTCAGTGTCTCGGTGTTCGGGCGCCCTTGAGTTGGGTTGAGACTTTCAAGTTGAGCAAAGCTCCGACTCCGCTTGCAGGCCTTGCCTCATGGTTTTCGGCTCGGGTTTTTGCGATGTGCGCTTTCGATACTGGGGTATCGTTTGCTTTCATACTCGCCTACAACAGCTTCATTTACTATTCACTGGCACCCCCTCGTTTCGATTTACTGCCTCGTCTTAGCTACTGGCAGCTGGTGTATGCCGCCGCCCACAGTTCGGACTGACCCAAAAGCCTGGGCCATATGTTGCCAATATATCAGCAGATATCAGCTATACCGGCGCCTGAATAATCAGACAAGGATGTTGGGATATGCTACAGTTGCTACAGCATGACCATAAAAAGGAACCCGAAGGAATAGTATATATTGATATGCTATTCCAGCTTCTTTGCCAATTAAAAATGGGCCCTTGCTGAATGATCTCGCAGGGAGAATGATCCTGGGGGCCTCGGCTGCTACATCACCCGGCATCCCGATGCTTGGCCATTGGCAATGCCTCATAAGTCATAGCGCATGATGTGACGTAGTGTTGCCAAGGTCGAATACAGGCATTTGTAAGTATTGTTGCGTTTCAACTAGCGGCTACTCAAGGCTGTCAGGCTTCAGCCGTTTGTGTGCAGTTGCAGTGGTCAGATTCTCCTCACACGGCCTTGTCTTAAGGACAACATCTTTGTCTCGTTTGGGACGGAGCTGTCATCGCCAAACCACATCACAATGTCCACGCCCTAGTTAGTTGATGCTTCAGGGTGCGTGGATTCTGCCTTCGACAAAACGTAGCTGGCCATCGAGCACCGCCGGATACAATAGTCTTCTTGCACATGCTCAACCGGGGAATGATAGTGGCTACATGCATGAGAGCCATGTTTGCCGAGAGGGTCATGGCCATTGAAGAACCTGGGTGGGTACGAGGAGCCTGAGACAACGTGGATGGTTGCAAGTAGCCGATGACGCCGAAGTGTTAGGCTGCTCGCCCTCTTCTCCCAACCAAACCCTGAGTTCCTTCCTGTGCAGGGGATGGAGACGTCGGAAAGGAATTCGGAATTACCTGGGGTACATTAGGGCACCATCAAGAGCGCTCTGCAAGCAGTAACTCCTCATTGATGAAGGCCACCTGTGGTGACGGAAGCAGAGCTCCACCCCTCGAGCTCAACTGCAGAGATGACGAGAGAGAACTTTCTCCTATACTCTGCACCTTGGCGACTGGTTTTGGCTTCAGGAGCTTCAGGGCACGCAGTGGGTGCTATGGGGTGTCGAATAGTTTATGATCCTGTTCCCGTATTGACCCTAAGTTCAACTATGCTTATAGTCTCACATACCCCTACGCCCTAATTATAAAGCCCCACCTGTGTCGTACCCTTACGGGTTCCTGAAAGCAATGCTATCCTGTACCCCTGAAGGAACCCTATTCTAACTAACTATTAAAGGCCCCATATTCCATACTCGTGGCTATGATCGGCTCTGAATTCCGGATAATGACCATAAACGCAGAGATGAGAAGACCGGAAGCTCTCTGACACGCTTTCAAACCAAGCCAGAAAGGAGACTATTATAGCTCATTTAACGCGAAGATTCAATGAACACGGCCCTTCGCGGAGCCTCCGACTGCCACTCGTTGAACTTGTGCCTAAATCGTGTGTAAGGATGAGTAAGGCATAAACTCATCCTGAACTGGGTTGTGGGTCGCTGGTGCTCCATGGGTGCTGGCGGCTGCTTGCGTTGTTTTTGCGTTTGATCTCTGCTCCCTAGGAGAATCTTGATTGCTGCCATCCGGTGCGGAGGCATTTGTACGAGACTGGACCTGCACTTGGACATGATCGCGAACTGCTCATAAAAAACAACGCCCGCCTAAGTGCATGCATAGCGCGTCAAGCTAAAGAGAAAGCAAGACACACTTGCGCCAGGCCAACATCCTGTAAGCAGCCCCACAGATCGGTTTTGTCAACCCCCATCCCGAGCTTGTGAGCCTTGCTTTGTATACTCAGACTCGTCGGCCTCAAAGCGCCTCAACCCCTATAAACCCGTGTTGAATCATCCAACTTGCTGGATATGACATGGGATTTTTGGTGTCTGATGCTTCCAGGTTCCTGCTCTGAAGCATTCAGACACAGGGTTTACAGGGTTTAGGGCTCTATTCCCGTGGTGTTTCAGCTTTGCATGCTTCTTGAGGATGTCTTGGTCAGCGACATGGGCCAGGCTTTCTGCAACTCGCGGTGCCTTTGTGTCAACCAAAAGCCCCTCCAAAGCCCCTCCACTTTCCGGCCCCTACAGATGTACATAATAAACGCCTGCTATAGTTAGTTAATGCACTGAAAGTCTATTTTTCATTGCGCTCAACATTTCTGCGGCGACGACGACGGTTGCTACGGCTGTCTCACCTACTCAGACCATTACCATTGGTCCGTTTTCTGCAGCTCTTGTTGCGGTTGCAACCCCTTCTACGACAGCGACGACGACAGCAGCGATAACCGCGACGACAGCGACTGCTTCTACGACGACTGCTACAGTTACTGCTGCTACCTGCTGGTGACTGCTAGTGCTGCTACCAGGCTTCGAGTTGGTACGGTTGTGTTGGCATGGATGCAGGTTGAGGCATGCGATGTGTTCATCTTTGTGGTTGTCCCGGTCCTTGCATTCGTTAGCCCTTTGGAGCTCAGGTGCATTGTTGAAAGAATCTCGCCGCAGTCTGCTTTCAAGGCGGCAGATGCTTGGGCGACTTGCCGTCGTTTGGATATCCCAAGCCGAGCCGATGTATTATTTTTCATGCCTGAAGGTCGACCACCACTGTGAATTTGCTTCATCGCTTCCAGCTGATATAGCTGAAGCCAGCCCTCGCCCCTCCCCCCGGAATGTTAAGTTCGGGATAATATCCTGCTGAAATGCATCCCGAAACTTATCTTCAATCGCAGAGAGACCATCAAAACTGCCAGCTAGTCCTGACTCTTCCCCCCAGTTCTGGTGCTCTACGATGTTGTCAATAGCAAAACTCGCAGTAGTAGGTACACCGGAGGTCGGTTCCTTGCTTTTCCGACTGACTCCACCGACTCCTCCTCCTTCTCGTGAGATTCAAGTGTCAACCCATGGTACTACCGGTGCTCGTATTACCGGTAGTGGCAGTGGTCCACCCCGCCCAAGACTGTTTCGGCTTCTGTTTGGATTGGGAGCCCCAATTTCCTGCCTGGCAAGGTTTTTGGACAAGGCGGGGGGAGGGTGACACATGCACGAGGGAGGTGATGAATCCATTCTAAACCGCTCTATGACTCTATGGTTTGCAAGCACTCGCTGTCTTTATGGTTCTACTTGCCCTCGCTACAACGCAGTAAGAAGAACCAAAGCTTGAAGGGCCGAGAGGCCCGAGCCCTGAAGCCCTGAAGCCCAAGCCTACCGTGGCCCCCAACTCAGGGCGGCGTGGACCAGACGAAGGTGATGCAGCACTCATTATTTTGCCCGCTGGGCCCAGGGGAAGTTCCCCACCGGCCCCTCGACAGCGTAATGTTGGGTGGTGGGGGTCCTTGAGGTTCAGGGCCTCCGATGGCATTCTTTGTTTGTACTTTGATTTAGGCGAGTGTCAGGGCCATTAGCAGATTAGCAAGCGTGCTACTGTAGAATGTAGATCATGCTTCAAAACACTGTTCCTTTCCGTCAGAAGCCCAATCCCTCGCACATCATTGCAATCAGCTGGGTTTCTGATGAAGGCTGCATCTTTTCTGTGAACCCAGAAAGATAGAAGGAGCGGTTCGACACAGGGCCTTCTGGCGCAACGGCCTCATGACTGACACACAGAGCTTCCGCAATGCCATCAACGTCTGCTTGCAACATCGAGGTGGCAGCGAATCGATGAGAACACATCAGAAGCTCAATGTCTGAAGGCTTTGGAACGCAAAAGATTTAGACAAATGATGCTCCAGCAGAAATCAAGCTAAATCATTGCTGCCATGATCATATGCAGAGGGATGCTTCTGAAGACTGTTCGCTGCTACACGAAAGCACCGTGAAGGCAGGCAATACGGCGGTCGGAGTAACCCCGCCTATTGTCCCTAAATCTAGTGCTACTGTAACATAACCCCAAAACCCTATTCCAATTAAAAAGGCCACAAAGCAAAAGCCTGTACAACCCATTAGAGCCATATCATACCCAAGGCCCCTGCCCTCACAAAGCCGTCTCTGTTTGTCTACCGAGGTATAAGTTCTACAAAGCCCTTTGACGGCACTTTGGGCGCTCGTGTTTGATGTCACGTGCGGAGGATTTTTGGGGTTTCAGGGTCCACTTCTTCCTGGCGGGATGGCTTTGCATGGCGTCTTCGATATATAAGGCTTACGGCCGTTGCTCGCAATCAAGATGTCTACATGCAGTTGCACGAAGCCCTGCAGCCTCATCCCTGATTTGCATTGTTTTACTAGATCTTCCGGAATAGGACGACTTGCCGTATCTACTGCAAGAGCTGCAGAATCTTGCAGCACAGCTCTTGAACAGTGCCTATAGTTATAGGTTGTAGTTGTCGCCATCTACCCGGACGGCTTTACTGTTCTATGACTATGTGTTCCAGCCTCCGTATGGCATGCGTGTTTAGCGAGCCGCACACATCAGATGCGTACTAGCCTTGACTCAGGCTATCTTGGCCGGCTGCATTCCGGTGCTCTTCGACTTTCCATCGTACTTCCCGAAGCAGAGGCACCCGGGTACAGCGGTGAATAGAAGGAGAGAGACAGAGAGAGTGAGAGAGAGAGAGAGAGAGCAAAGCAAAGCGAGAGAGTCAGTGGAGGAAGGAGAAGGACAGCCTACTCTGCCGACTTGCCCTGCAACCTCGGACGATGTGCCACCCTAGAGGGTTTCAATTTCGACTCTTTCGGCTCTGCAGAAAGCAGAGAGTCAGAGAGAGAGAGAGAGAGAGTGGAACAAAAACAAAAAAACACAACAAAACAGAGACAGCAGCAGCAGCAGCAGCAGCAGCAGCAGCAGGCAGCAGCAGCGCGCAGCAGTAGTTAGAGGTAGCTCCACAGACTACCAAACAATGCCTACAGTAGAACTTGCTTGTCCGACAAGGCATCTCTAGGCATTCTGCTCTCTATCTTTAAGTTTCGTGTGTGAGCTTCCGAGCCTTCTTGGATTGCAGCCATAGCAATTCCTGTGCTATTCCGCCCCCCTCCCTGGGGGCCCCGAGCCCCAGAAGCTTGAGCACATGTCCCTTGGCCAGGAGTTGGTGGAAAGAGTTCGGATCTCCTTTCCAACTGTCTCTACCGTTTTTCGAGGTGGCGGGGGTCTGGAAGCTTCGGGATCTGAAACAGCAAGCAGAGATGAGGTTGTGGATCAGAATGACGGGTTTGGGGCTGTGAGATTCTCGGCATTAACAATCTTTCAGAGGCTTCTTGAACCTTTGTCGTTGCACAGCCAGCTCAACCATTGCTTGGGTGAGGTTTTGCCCTGAACTTGTGCGAAGCAGATGAGCGGCCCGTGATGTTGTCCAGGTTGCGGGCCTCCACAGAGCGGAAACCCAAACCTGCCAGCTTGGCAAAAGTCCCGGTGAACCTTGGAACCCGACTCGCCTGGACGGATATGTCAGAGAGTCACAAGGCAGACCTGCAGTGAAGCAGCAAGGCTGTGATACACGCGGAGGGAGTAGGGGGGGCAGGGCGCACGACAAATGGACGGTGAATTGACAGCTGCTTGCAAGAACTCTTAAAGCTGAAACCCCACAGCAGAAAAGCTCTAAACCAAACTGCCTGTCCTTTGCGTTGACGCCTCATGCAGGTTATCCCCTACACAGAGTTTGCCCAGGCCCCAGTTTCATTGAAAGGGCGCTCCCAGGAGTCATGCACATTTCTCAGCTCCAATTCATGTGGGTAGTTCTCTGAATTAGGATCCCTTTTGGGGTCCTTTTTATAAGGGTGCCGTACTATATTGGGGACCTAAAAAAGGAACCCTGATTTGTAGAACTACCCATGTGGATGTCTCCCGGGTTTTGGGTTGCCCTGTTGGTTGGAAGTCTGCACGCCTGAATCTCGAAAGTCTCTGGAGGTTTGCGGTGTGGTTTGTAGAAGAATATTGAGAGTCCGAAGAGGCCTGCATATAATACCCTAAGCCCTAAACCTTAACCGTATTCTAAATATTAAGGCCCCCATATTACACCCGGAATCCCGGAATGAAGGATCATGCAGCTCATGCGACTTGGTGAATCCCATTCCTCACTGTGTTCGGGTTCGCCATCGGAGCAGCGAGCGATTACGAGGAGGGGATTGCCGAATCGGGCCGAATCGTCAGTTCAAGCGCACAGTGGTGGAACTTGCCGGAAGCATCCGGCCACCAAGCTTTCAGCTTGCTTGAACCGAGGTCGTGACAGTACCTTGCACCGACAACTACACACAGTCCTCGCTCGATATGCTCTGGAAGATCCGTTCCATGTCATCCGAGGACCACTTTCTTAGAACTGCTTCAGGGCTCCATAGTTCCATCATTTCGGGTTTAGGGTTAGGGTGAGGGTCCCGGCTCCTTGGGGCTCAGTGCATGGTTCCGAACGTAATTTGAGCTCTTTTGCCTCCTCCTTCGTCGTTGCCTCTCCTCCAGTCTCAGCTGGGTGTCAATGTGGAACACCCACAGCAACCTTGGGAAGCACACCCTCAACCGTTACCCCTAGCACCGCCTTCACCACCGCTTGCAGCAACAGCGGCACCAAGAGTCAATCACGACGACTACCAATAGGGATAGCATTGACTCGAACACAAGCACCCCAAAACTAACCAACAGCAACAGCAACCCGAACGGCGGCAGTAACAGTGGCAGAAGTAGCAGCAAAAGCGACATCAGCAGCACGAGGAACAGCAATACCAGGCAGTAGCTTGACTACAAGCCCACCACCCGGCCTGGACAACAACATCAAACATCATCACCAGTTTGGGCGACGGCTGAGCAGCATTCACCAACAGCAACCACACCATAAGCGACAGTCTCAAGAACGAGCTGGGAGGAGATACACCGGCGACAAGAGGCTATGCGGAAGTGGAGTCGCATGTTGGCCTTCCGCTGGGATGGTTCTGGGCCAGATGCCTTCACTGCTCCTCGGCTGCATTCCCCAGAGATCCCTCCATCTCCAAACCGCATGAGAGTTTGGGTGCCTCACCGGGGCATATCAGCATCGACCGGGCCGTGGGCAGGGTGGCACTGTGATACAAAGCTTTGGCCTTCGATGTCTTGGTCCTGCACCGCAAACGAATGGCTGCAAGGGTTTACGTAGTTGGTGTGTTTGAGAATGTAATAGTCATGTCCCTAACAACAACACCGTTTGCGGAAAGACAAAACACAGCAATGGTGTTGCTTGGCAGCCGCTGGGTGTTCGGACAGGATCATCACTTCGTTGCTCGAGGGTTCTTCGAAAGTGGGGTGCCCGGTGCAACCGCACGAATGCAAGCCTGCAGGAATGCAAGCCTGGGTTGAGAATCGTGCCGCTTTCGACTGCAACTAGCAAAGTGTACCGCAACGGTCCTTGGGCTCCTGGATCCGAATGGCCCTGGTTCCCTTCTTCCGCAGCTCGGAAGCCCCCCTTGCCTGAGACTTTGTGGGACTAACAGCCAGCTCAGGCTCTCATGCAGCAGATCGGAGTGATCTGGTCAAGAATCAAGCGGCGCCAGAAGAAAAGAACAAGTTATCGAAGCACCCGATTTCAGCCCAAGATGGAGTCGATTCGCAGACGATTCCGTTTGTGCTCAGGAGGTTCCACTGCTATTGCGAAGATGAGGGTGATGGCCTTGACAGCTGGAGATGGTTATGCTGATGCTGCTGATGCTGGTAGTGTTGCTGATGCTGCTGGCCATGGCCATACTAATGATGGTGACGATATCGATGACATTCGTTGTCGTCCTTGCCTCATTACAGCTCTCCTTGCTGATGTGAGGTCCCTCCCTAGTGTTCTGGTAACTGGTAGTACTTCTGACGCTGTGAGGCCAAGAAAGGTCTTTCTCCGGAACCGAGCTTTGAGCTGCCACTCTTGCGCCTCTATCAACCAATCAATCTATCTATCTATCTATCTATCGATCTATCTATCTCTCTCTCTCTGTCTCTCGATCCATCCACGTATATGTTTGTTTAATTCAATTGCTTTCATGCATTGTATCTGCTCTTCGGCTGGATCCCACGTGACAAGCAGGCTCAAGTCAGATACCCAAACCTCCAAAAACAGAAACTGCCATGTCCGAGCTTAGCCAAAACCCAAGCAGGAAAGCCTTATAACCCTCTTAACTTTCAGCCCTACATAGCCTGAGCCCTCAAAACTACAAACCCGAAATCCCTCAACCCTAAACCCCTTAAACCCTGAACTACAAGCCCGAAATCCTTAAACCCGTAAAGCCTAAACCCTAAATCCCTAAACCCGTTCGGGCTGAACGGTGCCTTGTCAGGAGGGCGGCTACTGGGCGCTGGAGTGCGGCTTCTCGACCGCACATTTGTAGCTGAGCATCTTGGCTTGGAAATCCACATCTTGCGCAGCTTCTCCAGGAGCCGTAGCTTGGCTTTAGCATGCCAGGATGGCACAAACAACATGAACTTACTGACACTATCCCAGAACCTGCAAGCCATCAAGGACGCCTGTGAGGAACTGAAGGGCAAAATTGACGAAGCAAGCAGAATTCTGGGAGACAGAATTCGCGACGAGACAGGCGGCTCAGTGATGGACTGCCGGAAGACCCTGCAGCATATGCTGATGCCCATGAAAGGGCAACAGGAGAAGTGTGCTGTGACGATGAACGACAGGTTCACGGAGGTGCTGAAGGAGATCGCGAACATCGTCTACCGCATCGCCAAGGAGTCGAAGGACATCCAGGCACAGGTCCGCTGGAACCAGCAGACCACAGACAGGGTCCAGCAGCTGACGGACCACTTGCCCGATAGACTGGGCATCCTTCGAGATGCCCTGGAGAACATCGAGAAGGTGGTCGAAAATCTGCGACAAACCCTGGCACCAGTGGACGAGGAGGTGAAGACGGACTCACCTGAGGGGCCCAAGGAAGATGCGCAGCCAAACAATGCCACTAGGCACAACAAGCTGCAAGCTCACGAGGGCTGGCGAACCCCACCATGTTGAACTTGGATGAGTCGCTCCCTGTACAGCAGCTCAGCCGCCAGAGCGTGCTCACCCCGATATCGCTTCCGAACGGGCGGGTGTGTTACATCCCAAGATCCGTCCTCCAGCAGATCCTAGGCCATATCTAGTACCCTAGGATACTTCCTGAATCGTCCCGAGGGCCATAAATGCATCATCTAACTTATGCTGTCTTGCCTCTGTTTTGGCAACAAAGCCCTTGTTGAGGTTGTATGCATGTGAGAAGTTAATGCATGCCGGATTCTTGCAAGTGCTCTTTGTTGCATGTCGCATGTGCAGAATTTAAGAATTTGAGAATTGAAATTTGGTAATTCATGAATGCTCCTCGGCCACAATCACATTTACCTGCGAAGCTGGGAACTCAAGCAAAACGAGGTGGAGCAGGAGTTGAAGCCCCCCCGCAAGCCCCCTTCCCCCAGCACTGTCCCACTAAACTGAAGCCTCAGCGTTCTTGTGCAGTGAGTACCAGCTCCCACAAAACCAAAGCCATGATCAACCTGATTTCTGCGTTCGTGGTTGTTTGAGTCCAAGCCAGTAACACCTCCCTCCCCCTAGGTTACAACGAACGATTCTCCCAAACCCCTCTCCAACTTACTCGGACCCAACAAAACCCGCCACAGGACCGCACGCATGGGTTGGCAACGCGACACCGTCGCAACGCCCCTCCTTTGGGGCCCCGTCCCATTTCGCCCCTTCCCTTGCCCTGCCGGGTGCTGCCCTGTGAACCCTGCCCTCGGGACCCTGACTCGTTCGTTCGTCCCCTGGTGGTTTTTCCCTAACCCGGGGCTTTAGTAACCACAAACCCCGCGCACGAGATGCCATGGCCGGTGCGAGCCCGGGACCTGACTCTGCATGACTATCTTCTAATATGTATGGCTAGGAAATACCTTGCGCATCTGCCGACGAACCATACACAAGAATGCAGGTTTGCATGGAGGTTGTGCTTCCCGCAAGATGGCCGTTCTGACCACTGGCAATATTACAATGTACGTGGGGATATGGTTACAACTGGTGCTGTATGCGAGGATTGCATGCCTCCTGTTCCATTTCTGGCATACCGATGAAGGAGCTGGATAATGAAGACAACCAGAATGCATGTCGACATACAAGCCCTACGATGTCCTGGACTTCGCAGCTGGTTTTTCTGGCCGTCAAAGAAGATTCAATGCTGGCAACCTAGAGGGCGATTACACCGAGCCCTAAGCATTCATGGCAAGTTGATATGATTCTGCGTCCAGCAAGCGCTGGAAAGTCCGATGACACGTTCACCTGTTGAATTTAGGAACTCTGGACCCTGGACACTGTGCTAACGGATGAAATTGATGCTGCCCGATGAATTCTTGCTGCATGTGCTGGAGACGCGTGGTTGGGCTCTTGGATTTGGATTCTGGATGTTCTGCATGTGGATGAATTTATTGCTATGGATGAATTGACTTCTGCCCGACGAATTTATTGCTGCATGAGCTGGGGATACGCTGAAAGTCATGAGGCTGCATGTTTGAAATATCTGTTCTGGGACAGCTGGAACTACGTGCATGGATTTGGATTCATGAGAACACTGCATAGAATCAAGTGCTGCGATATTCGCTGGTCCGACATGGGCTGGAGCTGCATGGTCAAGAGACACGTGGGGGCTCGCAAAACCTCCGAAGGGTACATGTTGCTAGGGCTGCAGGAAACAACAGTTGATAGTGCGGTGTGCAAAGACACTAGATGTTGCTCAACAGTGGCAGTAGAACTGTGAGCATTTCTTTTCGTGGGGCCCTTAAAGGCTCATCATGCTTGTTAATAGCCTGACAACCAATGTGTTGTTCGCCAATGAGCATCGTCGGACCAGTAACCTCGCCTAAGCTTGCCTGAGAGTGAGTGCTGAAATCCTTGAACTCTAAACCCTAAATCCCTGAACCCTAAGCCGTAAATCCCTAAACCCTAAATCCCTAAACTCTGTACACATCCTTAAACCCGGGGATCTCGCCATGATGCCGGTGTCTCGTTGCCAATGCCAGCGATGCAGCGCCTCTCGTCGGCAGTTGGAGAGCGGTTTTGGCATATATACATATATTATACCATATACATATACAGATACAGATACAGATACAGATACATATACATATACATATACATATACATATACATATACATATACATATACATATACATATACATATCCATATGCATATGCATATGCATAT